GAGGCACTTTTGTACAGAGAAGTGCATTCCCACTGGAGGTGGCACTAGTACAATCCTAGCAATAACATCTTTAACTGGGATAGTTGGAGTTCTGCAGAATTAGTTATAGTGAACTTCATTTAAGTTCATGGCCTTGGGATGAGGGAGGAAAAAAGACAATGCCCTTATCTATATCTGATGTAAACAGTGCTCGCTGACTGCATGGAGTGTGCTGGTGTTGGCTTTGAAACTGCTTGCCTTCTAATAGGGGGCTGCTAATCCCACAGTACTGCTAGTACCATGTACTTAACAAAAATCCTGTGAACATCCCGCTGTCATATCGCCTTTTGGACAAGGATCTTGCAGCATTTTAACTTTGTCAGGGTGCTCTGTAGTTAGGGAAGGTGTAAAAAGAGATGGGTTTTGCCCATCAAGAAAATGGCTTGATTCTAGGGTGGAATGTGACAGAGCCGCTTAGTATCTCAGGCTAACGACACATAGCACTTTGGAGCCGGAAGTGAGTAAATCTTAGTGCTTGCATAGCTTCTTACGTCGTCAAAGCACTATGCAAACACTCATTAATCCTCCCACCATCCTGCGAAGTAGGTCAGTGTTATCCTCAGTCACTCACCCAAGGCCAGATTGCGAGTCTAATCGAGCTAGGAACAGATGGTGGAGGTGCCTGGTTCTCCATCTCGTGTCTTCTCTACCAGACCGTGTTAGTTGTCTGAATACTGGACCACAGTGGGGCTCATTGTGCTGGAGCTGCCCCCATGCTATGAGCTGATAAGTGAGTCCCTTTTTCCAGGCAAGGATCTTTGGGTAGATGTGATATCTTTTATTAGACCAACTAAATAGTTGGAAAAAAATGTTCTTTGCAAGCTTTCAGGCTTTCTTTCCATGTGGTCTCTGCTACCTCCTTGTTTCTGTTTGCTGTAGACTAGATATTGTGGAGGGAGGCTGTGCACTACATGGGAAATGTCTGTTCTTGGGGTGAGACCCACTTCCTCAAAGTGAGAGGCAAAGCACGGTTGGATCGGTCGAGGCTTGCAGCTATGTCAGAGCTGCTTCCACAGTCGGCTGCAGAGGCACTAAGGTTGTATAGGAGTCAGCACCTCTAGTCAGGGCGCAGGTTGAAACGGAGGGAGGAGTGGATTCAGGCATAGGCAGTTTCCCTGCTCCCATTGCTCTTTTCCTTCTCTGTACTTGTTCTCCAGCTGAGGATGGTGTGCCTGGGCCTGGTGTCTCAAGTTAGGAAATGTTGTCATGTCAAAGTAAAACTGCAAGAGGGATTTAGTTAGCACCCTGACCCCTGTGAAAGGGGCAGAGGACCCTTCAGCAAGGGAGGCCATGTTTATATGATGTAAGTTAGCACCATGCAGAGATTCCCTGTGCTAACCCTGCAACCAGAAGCAGTGTGGCTGCATCAAGGTAGTTCTGATGCTAGTTCAGTATCTTCCTGGTGCTGACACGTGCTGCATAGACACACCCCAGAGGAGTGCAGGGCCTTGGTCGGGCATGATGCTGGGGAGGACCACACCCTTGATCTTGCTGAACTGAGGGGCCAGTGCTTTGAGGGCATGGCTGCGATGGCAGTGCCATGTGGGCATAGCCAAGCTGTTTGTAACCGAGGTAGCTTGGGTAAAGTCCACCTGCAGCAGCATACAGCTTCAGTTTGAAAAGCATGCAGAGAAGGGCTGTGGCGACCAGTGTCAGGCAGCTGAGCAGTGACTGGACTACACTTCGGGAGGGAATAAAAGCAAGTTGGCTACATGAAATGCCTGCCTTCAGGCTGCTGGATCTTCCCAGGCTGAGGGGCTGCAAAACATGTACCAGCACACACACGCTGCCTTTGGGTCTGTCCGAATGCTGATGCTCTAAATGCGCCACTCGGTAGAGAATGGGGCCAGCATTTGGGTGCTGCTTTTACTGCTTGTTGTCCCTCCAGTTTCACCTACTGACACACATCTCCCAGTGTTTGTCTTGACTGTTTAACTTGGGCATTGCTTAATTCCTAGTGCCCTCTTGCCCTAGTATGGTGTTTCTAGGCCTAGCACCCTGACCTAGCAGCTTTTGCGTAGGCTGGTAACTGACCCACTTTATGCTGAGGATGCAGGATGCATCACTGGAGTACCATATCTTTTGCTGCTATCCCACAGTGCCCCCCTGCCCTCAGATGGATGAACAAGTTCTACCACAATTTGGGAGGAAAGAGTTGCAAAGCAGCTCAGTTCATGCAGCCCCGAGAACCATAGGGGCTCCTGCCCCAAATCTTCACAGGGCATAGAGGGGAGCACAGTACCAGGAAGAACACGGCCATTTTTAGGATGGCTTTACAGTGGTTGCTCAGACTTGACCTGGGTGCTAGTGACTGTCTTGCTTTGCAGTGGGGATGCAGTTTTGGAGACCTCCAGTTGAAATGTTGCTGCGTGCGTCGTGAGAAATGGGAGGTTCCACAGTAGGGTGTTGGTGCTTGAAGAAAGTGCAGAACTGTGTTGACTTGCATGGCACTCTTCAGACATGGTGGGTGGGTGATGGGAATTCTGCCCCTCCATAGCAGCCTTGGAAGAAATGAATCCTCCTGTGGGATCATGGCATAGTAAAGGGGCTTCTTTTACACAGTGAATGTGTGATGGTGTTAAAGCACAGCGTGTAAATTCATTGGTCCCTGGCTGCTAAACAATTGGGCCTCACCGTGGCTGAGCTATGGGGGCAGGAGCAGAAGGACCAGGGGTGGAAGGTCTTTTATGTGTGGCTTTCATTAGTTGCATGTGCTTTCTCCTACACAGATCCTGAAGCCACTCCTGCCTTCCCCCTTTTGATCTTTATAATTAATTTTTAACCCAGTTACTGCATGTGGGTGTAGTAAGACAAGGTTCTTTGGGTAAATGCGATATCTTTTATTAGACCAACTGAATAGAAAAATTATTTTTTGCGAGCTTTTGGTCACAAACACCCTTCTGCAGGCATAGGGAGAGTCTGCTGGTGTTTGTGTGCTTTCCTGGGTCTAATACAAGCATAAGTCAATAACTCTCTGTAGCTTGTTTGGGAGAAACAAGACTTCCAAAAGGCCAGAAAGCTTTTCTTAAACTATAAAATGTTTCCCTGTTAACTTTTTACAGCATTGCTGCGTAGCAGCTGTGTGCTTTGGTACACTACAGTTCCTGCTTCCGTCCCTGTGTGCGCTGTCTTGAAATTGTTCAAGAAGGGAAGCTAGTTTGGCAATACCTTTTTCTTGGACCAACTCTATAGTTGGGAGAGAGGGGTTAGATAAGCTTCCAGGTACAAAATGCCTTTCCTCGGGGCTGGAAAAGAAGCAGGTACAGCCTAAACTAAATGCTACGTAAAAGAATTACTATTTAACCACAGATGTTAAAAATATCTGGTGTAAACAGTTGAAGTGTGTGTTTTTTGTTTGTTTGTTCGTTTTTCATAAAGCTTAGCTACTCTGAAAGAGGTTGATCTCTGAAAGGGAGTAGGCAAAGCTAAAGCCTATAAATGCTGCTGCTTAGTCATTTTGTAGAAGTGGGCAGAGATAGGCGTGTATGACCTGAAACGTACCTTCCTTAGATTACTTGGAGAAGTCTCCCCAGCTATAAATATCCATACTGATAGCTTCTGAACTTTCCATTTGGTATAAAAGCTATGTAAATGTAATTGGGTTCATTTTTAAAGTGCGCCAAACATTTGGAGCCAAGGAAGTTTTCATCTGTAGGAATCTTGCTTTAATTTTAGGACTCTTGAGTTTCTGTGTTACCAGATACAGCAGGTATTTTACATACATTTTACTTTGTTTCATATGCCTGGTATCAGATCACTTTAATCAGCTTTCATGCATCTGGCAGGATGACCAATTAGCAAGCATGGTGAGAATTAAGCATTATGTTGTGTGGAAACAGGAGAAAACTCCAGTCACCTGAAGCTCCATCCAGGGCTCTGCTGTTAGGAGTTAGAATGGGGAGACTGTATCATGGTGGTTCTCAATTGGGGTGACACAGCAACCTGCCAGGGGTGTTGCAACACTGTCACTGCCTCAGTCTTCAACCCTGCATCAAGGTGAAATTGCACCTCACACCTCCATTTTCAGGAGGCACGTCAGAGCCAAACTGAGAAGTGGCTGCAGCAGAAAGGTGCCTGCCTGCATTAGGTTGTGCCTTTGTGCCATCTGAAAACCAAGGCTCAAGGCACTTGTTCACCGTATGGTGGCACTGACCATGCTGCAGAATCCCCTTGGCTTCTTCCCTCTCGGGCATTGTGTCCTTTTGCTCCCCGCATACTGCATGTACAGCCTAGCACCTTGTCTTGTTGACTGGGCTTCCCCAGACTTTCTCCACCGGGGCCCTAGGGCTGGAGTTCAGGGGATTGCCCTGGGTAATTTAAGGGAAGAACTTGGTCCAGTGGTTCCTGAGCCCCACCAGTGACCTGGAGTCGTATGTAGGAAGTCCACTGCTGTGCTAGGAGCAAATATGTGCTGGGCCAGGCAGGGCTAGGTGAGTGCTTCCTGCCAGCAGCCTGATGGGTGAATATAGTATAATATACTATAATTATATCACCAATTATTGGCATATGAATGGATAATAGAATTCTAATGTTTATTATAATTTCCATAATATATTGGCTCTCTTAAATGGGGTGCCAGTGACTTCTACAAAGTCTTGGAGGGGGTGCCTTAAGTCTAAAAAGGTTGAAAACCACTGGTGTATTGGGACTCCTGGATTCTGTTTCCAGTGCTGCCACAGACTTTTGTGGACTGCTCAAACACATTTCACCTGTCTGAGCCAAAGTAAGCCTGTATTTAGATGTGGGGGGGTGTAATCCTGACAGACTCCTGGATGAAAAGCACCATCTAAGGGTAGAGTGCTACAAGTGCTCTAGCTGCCAAAGGAGTGTCCAAGCACAAGCTGCTCTCGATAGAGGAAACTCCAGCCTCAATTTCTTGAGATCCTTCTCCTACGAGGAGCTAGGGAACACACAGGAGAATTTCTGATTAAAGCCTGTTGCTTCT